CCAGAGAAAAGAAAATTTTCTTTGTTAATTGGTTTGTGCCTGCCACGATCTCATAAGCTCTCAAATGTGCCTGTAGGCACAAAAATGTTGGTGACCACTGATGTACACAAATGCGTTACTTCATGAAGATACCATCAGGAGACACTTCCATAAAATGTTGTTACCAAGAGCGTGTAGACCTATTACAAAGATGACTGACAAAAGGAGACTGTACATAAACCTAAGAGCACGAACCACTTTGTTCTTAGCTTAAAAAAGTACAGTGGCAATGCAGAGATGTCTAAGGTACCATTTGGCTGCACGCGACAGAGACAAGCGACCGAGGCAGGCGAAAGAGTTATGAGACATAGACTGGTTGCTTCCTGTCTGCTCTCTGTACAATTGTATGAAGTACAATTACGAGTGCGAGACAAAGACAGTACAATTAAATATGATCACGTGCCTACACAAAATAAGCGTAATGTACAAAACTTACCGCACATGATCAACAGAGACTAGGGCTTGCTGTATGAAAGAGCCATACTGCATAAAATGTCTTTTGAATGAGGCATATTTCTACCTGGACAGAATAGTACCAAAGTTTTACTTCTGGGCTATGGAAAATCTGCATGTGTTTAACAAGAAACTGCCGCTGAGATTACAATATGGGCTGCCATATAAAGCCATGGGCCATCTCCAAGGCTTGATGTTTGTTTGAATGTTTGGGGACTATTTCGTGCATCAACCTTGCATTTTGCCATACACCAAATTATAAGCAATTTGATTAAATCAGCAAAGTCTAATATCAGCTTTAGTAGAGTTAATATGACCAAAAACTAAATCATTCAGTTAGCTTTTAATGTATACTTCCAAATAACACTTCACTGAAATCTTTCAGATGAAACATGCACAAATTAAAATTAATTTTATGCACTTCATGAAAGGAACAAAATAAAAAGCAAACCAGAATACAATTAATGTTGAAACTGTCGTACAAGCAAACATACCTCTTTATCAAAATTTGCTCTAGTAAATTCAAGGGAATTGAGGAGGGCGGTTGTCGCAGCTAACCGAACGTGGTTGCTCGGCTCATTCTGACGCATTCCGTGAATAATAGCAGTCAATATCTGATTTGATTGTGCAATTAACACTTCATGTTCCTGTAAATAAAAATTAGACATTTTGAAATCAGCTTTCTTAAAATACAGCGTCCACTTTTAAAAGTATTCTATGCATAACTCTTCAGCGTGGATACACAGGTAACCCTCGACTTACGCCGGAGATGCGTTCCTGGATGAACCAGTGTAAATTGAAACTCTTTTATCATGTAAATCAATGGGAAGTCAATGACATGCGCTCCCAGCACACAAACATTGACGAGTAATATAATGGCATTATATTTAAAGCTCTGAAATAATGTAAATAAAATAAAGGGTATTTAAAAAATATATTTTATACAGATTTCAGTCTTCTGGGTTGATGCGCTGTGTAGTCTGGAGTATTTCCGCTAAGATTAAATTAGCCCTTTGAAAGGTTAAAGCACCAGGAATGAAATTGCATAAGAGCAAACTCGCATATGCAAAAGTTTGCATTTCACAAACAGCTTTTACCGATTCATCGATCTCATTGGAGCAAATTCACCTTAACGAAACATACGTAATTGCAGAGATGACTGTATTTATAATTTTTATTCAAAATCAGTGATGTAAGAATTATGATTTAGTATAAGAATCAGTATGAGTTACATTGTAAAACATTATAAATAATAGTAAAATATATTTTTCTCACTTTTTGACTTCCTGGTTTCAAAATCGGCGCAAATCGAGGGCTACCTGTATTCTACATAGCAGCTGCAGCCCATAACTGAAGATGTTATCAGCTGATTAATTTATTAACCACATTATAAAAACTTACAACTGATGGAAGATGAGAATCAAGACCATTCACAGAACCATGTGACCCATATTCTAATATCCCATTCCATAAATTTTGCATTTCTTTATCAACAAAATACTGTACAGTATCTACCATTTTGGCAATGGTTTGGAACCATTTGTACAAATATTCCCACAAGCAGCCAGTGATGCCACTAAAATCAAGCACACTTCCATTTTACAAACTTCCAAAAGGATACAGACTCATCGTAACGTACAAAATGCATCAACAATTGGTTCTAACATATTAATATTTTGTGACTGCTCTCCTAGAAAGTGTTTGGAAGTACGCTACACAAAACTCAGAAACAAAAGGATAAAGCACTAATCAAATATCGAAAATCTTCAGAAATATTTTCTTATCACATGAAATATCTCATATAACAAAGGCGATGGTCTCGTTTGGTGAAATTAGTACATACCAACACAGTAAAGGGTATACATAAACTGGCATACTCAATAGATGCAACTTACAATATCCTGACAGATGTAGCCCATCCCTTCCAGCGTCGCTTCCTTCATCATCTCTGTACTTGTTGGGTCGATGACATTGTTCACCATCACACCTATGAGTTCTGGCCACTGGCCAACAGGAAGCTCTGCTACCGCTACATACGCTACACATTGCGCCGCTGAACTTGGTCTGTTATTCTCGGTACCAAGAGCAGCTAGGATCTAGTTAAAAAAAACACCCGATATCATCCAAGTACGTCAGGTTTTACAATTAAAAGTGTCGACAATTTAACATGATATTCAATACATAAAGTAGTGCAGAATGATCAGGTTATTCTGTAGGGCTTCATGTATGTCACACAAGTCAAATGTTAACTGTCAAATATTTTATAAATTTCATCCAATTAAACATAAATGTGGTTGTAAATTAATAATGCAACAACCTAACGTCACATTGCCTGGTAGAATCTGACATGTTATAGGGTAAGAAACCTCTGTTCACCTTTACAGCTAGATAAAATTATTCTGCCTTATTAAAAACTTTTCAATGGGCTGTGTAATATTTACCATTCTCATGTCAATAACAGCTATAACCTGCAACCTTCTTTCTCTCTCGACGAGTGGCAAAGTCGCCGATGTATTACTAAATATAAGCAAGTTTAGTCACAGAAAACAAGTTCAAATTAAAGAATTTTTGTCCTTTGAACATTGAGTTCTTTTGGAGGACCACACAGTTTGTAGTGCTGAGGAATACATGAAACAGCAAATGGAAACTTACACACAAAAGTTGGCAAGAATGACAAGAGGATGTGAAATAAGCCACAAAGTACAAATCTTAAAGACAACTACAATTCAAAATACTACAAAAATTCCATCTAAAATGAAGGTTACACATGAAGTATACAAACGTTAGCTATGTCCACACATATAAGGTTATTAAACATAAAAAACCTTATAAATAATATTTAAACACCAGGAATTCACCAGCAGAGTAAAAGGAGTGTGTATTAATTAAGTAACTTCTTAATTTATGTAGGATTTGAGGTTTTCATGGTGGCGGGTCTGAAGATTGCCGGGAGCTGGATGGAGAGAGGAAGGGAGCACTGGCCAGGGCCGGATGTGCCCTGAAAAGGGGGGGCAGGCACTCTGGTGTGTAGTGTGCCATACTGTGAAATCATATAAAGAAATTCTTGAATAACCAATTGGTACTCCGTGACTTCTCAGCATGTACATTCTAAAAGGGTATACTCACATTTAAGAAATACAGTTATTTTGAATCTGATTACTTTCTTTTGGCAATTGCTCAGATTTGCTTTTCCTTAAGAATGGCCCTCACTGTAAGTTACTGCTATATCAAAGGGGTCACATAAAAAAGTACCATGATCTGCATTTGAGGTTTTCGTGGTGGCAGGTCTGAAGATTGCCGGGAGTTGGGTGGAGAGTGGAAGGGAGCACTGGCCAGAGTCGGATGTGCCCTGAAAAGGGGGGGGGAGCCACTTTGGTGTGTGGTGCGTCATTCCGTGAAATCATATAAAGAAATTCTTGAATAACCAAAAGGTACTCAGTGCATTCTCAGTATGTAAATTCTAAAAGGTTATACTCACATTTAAGAAATACAGTTATTTTGAATCTGATTACTTTCTTTTGGTAATTGCTCAGATTTGCTTTCCTTAAGAATGACCCTCACTATAAGTTACCGCTATATCATGCTTATGTGACCATAAAGAAGTACCATGATCTGCATTTGACTCATAAGCCATTCGTTGCTTACCTTCGGTTCAGGCCATTTTTCAAACATAAGATCAATACAACTACCCCAATACTAAAGTATGAGATTAATTTATTGAATGGTTTGAACACAAAACTCACCATAACACCAACAAATTGTTTGTATAAAAATTTCTAATAGTAATATGATATAAAATTACATTTGTCTTCACGTAAGCTCTGGTTTCTTCTGGAAAGGCAAGCCAGCGTTGCTGGTATTGTGTTTTAACAGCAGGATCTTTGGATGTAAGCGTATTCTTGAGCTGGAGTCCTGCTGCCATCCGTGCCACTGGACTATTACCACCATGGTAAAGAATGTCTGACAACGTCCTCACAAATTCTGGCTGTACATAAATAAGAAAACAAGGGTTAACAATCATGCCTGTATATCCTAAGAATCGAATGCTTGTATTCATTACAGAAAACGTGTTTGCAATGATGTTAAGTTATTGAGGTAATTTATACATACCAAGTTAGTTTGTGCCGCTTGTTCCAAATAAATTTGGGCTGCCTCCAATTCATTCTTATCTATAAAGATTTCAAACACAAACTGTTTCAACATTCATTACAAATAGCACAATAAACTTGCACAATTCGTAAAACAGCAAATATCAAGAGTCCACCATATTGTAGGTTATGTGAAGGAATATTTAGAATGTATATTGATTTAACTGGGATATTTGCACGCCCAACAGAACGACCTAGCATAATATTCATCATATTTCAATTAGGAAAAGTTCACATTAAGTTTCTGAAAAATATCCAAACTTATTTGCGTTTCATAAGAGGCCATGAGACATCAGTAACGAATTTTGTCTCGCAAACAATGACTGAACTTTGAATTAATTGTGCATGTTTTACAGACATACCTGGTGAAACAGTCTTTTCTAATATTTGAATAAGTTGTAGAGTAGTTCCTGCATTCATTGTGGTCGCAATCGGCGCTATATTGTCAACACTTTATAAATACTTTATATGAGTAATATTCTTCGCTTCTTCTGCCGGCATTCACCCACATGTACAATGTACCACTGCGCAGTAATACCACACTGTTACAAAATACGAAGAAATAACGTGTGCAATTTAATTAATGAATTACGACAATTTTATATACTTTTAATTATATCGTGCACATTTATAAACTAAAATCTGTCTCCTATAAATAACTACGTATTAATACACCATGAACTATATTCTGTTATACATTATGGTCTCTGGGTTATGGAAAATTTCGCGCCAACCTCCACCAACCTCTGTACAAGATTATCTGACTTTCAATAGATGGAGCATTTATCTCAGAGAAACACTTTATG